AACGCAGATGTGACTGGGCGAGAGTGCTCTTTACAGATGAAAGTCGGTTCTGTCTGTTCAGGAACGATGGCAGAGTTCTAGTTTTTCGACGAAGGGGAGAGCGACTGGCGCCAAACTGCATTAGAGAAGTGAAGGCGTTATGGTATGGGGTGGCATTTGTGGCCAGATTGCAACACGGCTGGTTATCATCCGAGGAAACCTGAATGCTCGGCGATACAGGGATGGAGTGTTGTGACCTGTTGTGGTGCCCTTTATTCAACAACAAGACAACGCAAGGCCTCACACCGCCCGAATTGTTCAAGAATACCTGAACAACGTTAACGTCAACGTATTGCCCTGGCCACCTTGTTCTCCAGACATGAACCCCATTGAACATCTCTGGGATCATCTTGATCGTCAGCTGAGACAACATGTACCCCCTCCAGCCAACCGACAGGAACTTGAACAGACTCTATTGAACTTATGGAACAGGATTCCTGTTGACGTTATCCGCCGACTGACGACGTCAATGAGGAGGCGTGTGTTGGCGTGCATGGATACCCATGGTGGTCACACTCGCTATTGATGACGTGTTACCTGACTACTGTGTCAATAATGGACTCTTCATGCACTTTTTCAATGAACTCTGATTTGTGTAATTTTTAATTTGGACCCCTTGACTCTTTCTTTGTGTATTGCGGAGAATGCAATAACGGCATTACAATGCATTTACATTCTATTTCATGGAAAATGATTTCTGTTTATAAATTAATCATCATAAATCTCACATATGCCTTTGTTTTTGGTGTTTGGTCAAGTGAAGTCGGTGAAAACTTTCTTATGCCCGGTAGTTTAGGTCCGTGACACGAACTGTGTAATCAGTCCAATATTGTCCTGCTAATTCTCGAGGAAGCTTCCTCACCAAACCTGTACATCGATTATTTCCTCATGATAATAGACGTCAATATTAACGATTTCTCTCTATACGCCGAATACGTTTTGTCCCAAGCAGTTCTTATTTGTGCGTTGTTAAGAAATTGAACAAAAACAAACACAAATGGTATTATTCGGGAAAAGATAACAGACCAGAGGTCCAGATAAGCTGCTCATACGCAATACGCGTAGAAATCACGTGTGGAAATCATGCGTTTCACGCGTTTCCGTACACCATCACTCTGCGAAATTGCCCGATATATCCTTTTCTACTTGCGTGCACGTTCTTTTCTTTCAGTCAGTGCTGGTATTGTACGTCATCTGCTTATGCTGCTAAATAGAGATGCTCGCAGTCACTGGATTGCCGATCCTCAGTCGAATTGTAGCAATCTTGAAATTGTGATTTTGTCTCAATCATCCAGTGACTTGTAGCCTAAGTATGTTCCCGTGTTTATTTCTATTTTTAGCTGGAAAATTGACTTCTTTTTGCATGTGTTTGTAATCGAGATTTCTTATGAACAGAGAAGCGGGTTTGTCGCTTTAATTACCAATATACCTGTAGCGAAAATGTTATTAGTGATGCGAGTGATTGAGTATGGTTTTACACTGCCTTTGGTAATATTGCGACTGTATCAAGCCTCAAATATTGTACACATGTTGGGAACGAACCTAGGGCTTCGGCGAGTTGAGCGAACGCTTTAACCACTAGGCTACCCTTAGTGATTCGAACAAAGATATACTGCGCTACTTGATGGTATGAGATGATATCGATTTGCCACTTCACCACTCCATTGTAATATAACAACACGTTAACGCCTGAGAAGCAAAACAGCGGTGATCATTATATGAATAGATCACTGAAATTCCACGGTGACACCATTAATCACCTATAATCTAACCCATAACCACCCGTTTACACGTGACTATCACATGACAATACGACCTTGCTGCAACCATGGTCTAGTTGAGAGAACGTCTGCCTATACAGCGGACGATTAGTGGCTCAGGCCCCTGGTCGCATTATAACAAACGACGTTAAAGCACCTGGAGAGGACGGATTACCTCCAGAGGTTTTTAAGTGTGCGGGACCTTTTCTGATTCCCTTTTTGAAATTACTATTTAACAAAGTATTAGATACAGGTATTTTCCCTTGTTCTTGGATGATTATCCCGTTATACAAATCTGGAAAAAAGGCTGACCCAAATAATTACAGAGGTATTTCTCTTTTAATTGTTACTGGCAAGTTATTCACTTTTGTGTTAGAAAAAAGGTTGAGGACATGGATGGAAATTAATGATTTCATATCGGAATCTCAAGCTGGTTTTCGCTCAGACTATTCTACTATAGATAATATGTACATTTTACAGTCATTGTGCTCGAAATATATATGCAAATCGAAGGGATGTTTTACTCTGCTTCCGTTGATTTCAAGAAAGCCTTCGATTTTGTGGATAGGCAAAAGTTACTGTATCTACTTGTAATCAAGTGTTGTCATGGGAAAATGTTTAATGTTCTGCAAAGTATGTATTCATCAGTAAAAGCATGTATAACGACTGATAAGGGTAAAACAGACTGTTTTTCAACATCCAGAGGTGCAAGACAGGGGTGTATTTTGAGTCCTGTTTTGTTAATTTTCTTTATCAATGAACTTGTTATTGAAATTCATAAACAAATTAATTATGGTATATTTGTATATATTATGATGCTATTGTTTGCTGATGATATTGAACTGTTTTCATTTGAAGTAAGCGGTTTACAGAACCAATTAAATGTATTACAATCGTTTTGTTTGAAATGGGGATTGGATTATCTTTAGAAATGGTGATATAGTTGCCAAAAGAGAAAAGTGGACTGATGGAAATGCTTCGGTTGAAACCTACTATAAATATTTGGGTATCATGTTTTCTTCTGAATTAATGTGGTCAGTATACATGTATGTAGCATGTAAACAACTCGCTATTCAAGCTTCAAAAGCATGTATGCTTGTGTATAAATTGTTTATACAAAATAAGTATATATCATTTTCAACAGCATGCAATAGTTTTTATTGTAAAATTGCATCAATATTACTATATGGTTCGGAACTATTGGGAACAAAATATTATGCTGCCATCGAAAAAGTACATACTTCATACTTCAAACGTTTTTTTGGGTATTGGTAAATATGCCTCAAATAAGGCAATTCTTGGTGAAACTGGACGCTGCAATATGTTTGTGCATAGCCAAATAAGAGAAGTTTAATACTGGATAAAGTTACTAAGAATGGAAGAATGTAGATACCCTCGTCAATGTTTTAAATTGTTAAAGCAGTTGGATGACAAAGGTAAACAAACCTGGGTTTCTGAAGTAAGAAATCTATTATTTACATGTGATATTTCTTTTGTGTGGATTTCACAGGTTATTGAAAACATTCAAGTGTTTATGGGAATATTTTATGTACCAATTGTGATGAGTTTCATGTCTTATTTAAGTGTAACAAGTATTCCAAGTCAAAAGTCCCATCTAAATATCCCCCCTTCTTGAATGACTATAAATCTGAAATGCTAATGGTAAATACTATCAGCTCGCAAAAAACCATGTTATATTTCAGTTGCTACTTACATAAAGCATGTTTTTACTGTCAGATTCAAGAAGATGTAATTTCTGAATATGCACGTGACATCATATTATGAATTAGTATCAATTGTACTTTAGGCCATATGGCCATAATACTGAATAAACCTGTCTGTCTGTTAAAAGTTGGTACTTGTTGTTACCCTGCCTGGCGCATGGAAGATGCCAATGTTTTGGTTACAGTTGAAAGTATTGCAAATAAGTTTTGTGAAAAGTTTGGACCTACTTCAAGGAAACTAGTCGGGCGATTAATGCACACATCTTTTCCAAATTTCAAAAAGGCTTATGGATGGACAAAAAATGTCCCTGTATATAAAGGGCTAACAGAAACAGTAATGATATTGTATTATAAAGTGACAAAATGATATGGACATAACTGATCATTTCAGTATGTATGTCACATGTAAATAAAATAAATAAAAGTGTGTCAGTATTTTTTTACCATCTATGTATAATATACCATGTTTTCTGTCATGCACCATTAAGTTATCATTACAAATACTGTGACTTTGTCAATGATATATAACTTTATTAAATGAACCATAATATAAATGTTCTATTGAAACTAACCTGTTTAAAGATTTTCTTGCTGATCATGTATATTTCAACGATAATTAACAAATCTGTTGTCGTGATTTGGTTGTATGCGTCCTGCTTGCTGTCTGTGAGAAGCAAATTAAATAAGTCATCATTGTGATTCCTCCCGTCACTCAGTCCAGCCCAGTCATGAAGAGTTCTGTCGTTTTTGGAACTGCCTGGCAGCCATTCCAGTGCTGGCAGCCACCGGCATTTTTATGCCATTTTCACACAGGCATCGGTCAATTTCCCGAACTAAAACAGTCTTGCCAGTACCTGCCTGACCGTAGCCTGTTTGCTACTAATTCATAAGCGTGCTTTTGTTGATCGGTTAAACAAACCATTTTGTAGCTTGAAACACGCGAGCGACATGTGCTACTGTTTGTGTTTATCTGCTATTAATACACAGCGAAGTTCGACACATCAGATAACTCGTAGCTATTGAAACCCGTTCCAGTAAACTACTTCCGCTAACGAAAAGATCGCGGTCACTCGACTCGCGAGTTTACAAGGTATTTTCTCATTAAAAACAGAAAACAAGACAGGTTCATGTACTTGGATATGTTTATTTAGGTCCTTAATGAATATCTAGCGCGAGAATATCAGATGACAAAAAGAATAAAGGTAGGAATCGTATTTTTTGCTTGATGTAAACAAACAGTCGAATATGGCGGGTGACGCTCCTTGTCCTTTATGTAGTATAGGGAGCGTATCATTTTACATAGAGCAATATCGAGCTCCTGCGGGTCCAGACTTACAGACCGCCGTTATAAAGCTGGAATATTGCTGAGTGCGGCGTTAAACAACAAACAACATTACATGTCAAGTATACCTGAACACGTTTCGAATGCTGTATGCATTCGGACATTGAATAAATAGGTTAAAGGACAACACTGATGTGTGCTTACGTAAAAGTTTTATTGGCATATATATATATACTGATGTGCGAAAACAAAGACTTATGGACATACATGGTTAATGAACACAATTGAAAATACATTTGCATACATACAACCCACCTGATAAAGTATTACTTGCTGGGTAAAATCCTGTACTTAAATATTATAACAGAGAATTAATACAGATAGCAACGTTTTGGTATGTTGATCATGTCATGTGTGCGTGATAGCGCCGTTATTGACAGAAAGTGATGTTAAACTACGTCTCCAAGTAGCTTCACAACCACCAGGATCACAGCGGGGAACATCAGCCAGCTGAAGGGACAGATGCAAGTAGAAGAGGCTGTTGAAAAAAAGATAAATATATCCAATGAGCTCATACAATACTAAATGAGGGACCCATGAGGATCCTGGGTAGAATATGTCTTCAGCAGCCCATGCTTGCCATAAAAGGTGACTATGCTTGTCGTAAGAGGCGACTAACGGGATCGTTTGTCAGGCTCGCTGACTTGGTTGATGTCATTGTATTAAGTGGATCGATGCTCATGATATCAATCACTGGATTGTCTGGTCCAGACTCGATTATTTACAGCCCGACGTCATATAGCTGGAATATTGCTGAGTGCGGCGTTAAACAACAAACAAACATTATGAGGGCTTAACAAGAAAAACCTCTTTAATTCCTGTTCGGGAAATATTTAAATCAAGAATGAGACATGTATCATAAGAACAAAGTGAGTGAGAATCACCAGTATTCTAGCTTTTGTTATAGGCTAGTGACTAAACTCACGTGCAACGATCCACGCCACTGGGACAAGTAATGAGCTACTGCATGAGCCCATCCTCCAGATCATTCATTTTAGCTCGTGTTAACAAGCGGGGCGCCTACCTACTAACATGGTTGGTTGGTTGTTTTTTTGTTAAACGCCGCACTCATATGTGCATATTTATTGGACTGGTTTATTTCATTGAAAACACTAGCCATTATATGATAAATAGAAGTCTCGCCTACCTGCAGATTTATACATTTTCAGTCTTTCCTCAAGCACAACCAGCAACATCTCGGCTCTACCGTGCAACCTTTCTGTCATTTTCTTGGCTTCATCTGATTCCATCATTTCCCTCATTTTAGCAGCAGCGCTTTCAGTGTCGGGTCTCCCAAGCCCGAAAATGTCTTTGACCACGGGATATAATGCGCTTACGGCTCCACTAATTGCGGTCAGTGCACTTATGAATCTCTTCTTCCGAATAAGCTTATTATCTTCAGACTTTCTGATGTCATTGCCTGCAGTTGCCATCTGCAAAACAATGGACATCGCCACGCAGAAAATGATATATTTGGATTGGACCCTCATGATTACCTGAAATAGAAAACAAGACAAACTTAAATCGTGTACAATCAAGCAGATATATCCAAGTTACCCGTGTCTTTCTTCAAATAACAAATATGACTATTTAGTTCATGCTTGGTTAATCATAATTTATTGTGAGTACATTAGGGGGGCATACATTGTTCAATGCTGTAGTCAGAAAAGATAGGGCTTTGACTTGTGAAGCTGGGGACATTGGTTGCTTCGGCATCTAACGCGACGCAATTTGCGTGCCTAAGGTGTGCTAGAAACCTATGATAGTGGGTTCGAATCCCTATTATGTTTCTAAAGTTGTCAGCACCATACCCGTGCTCGTGGGTTTCATCAACGTGGTAACTATTTAAGACCTGCATCACTTAGGGCTTTCTGCCCACATCCAGCTTACATATCGTGATATTTCTGAAATACTAAAAGGAAATCAAATTCACCTACGTATCTTCTGAAGCTTATGTTATCCCGGCCGTCTGTTGCAGGTTGTATTTATAATACAAACGACCGCTCATATATAGGAGACGTGTGAGGAAAACGTGATTTTAGAGCAGCCAGAAATTGTTCAACTTCACTGTTCTCTGTTACATCAGTTACATTTGTAAGGTTGATGGGCGTGGAACCACGTGGGCAAGTGCTTTGTTTGGACCCGGAAATGACGCAAATACGCAGAGTGAAGGTCGCACTGGCCGAGGACATAAACAAAACCCCGTCTGAAGGAACGGCCATGGCCCTACGTTCGACATTCTAGTCGTGGAATATTGATGGCTTATATAAACATGACATGACAGGTGAATACTCTCAGGTGAAATATGTATGTGCTAATTATGACCTTGTTTGTTTTTGTGAATCTTTTGTGAAGGCAGAAAACGATTTCTCAAACTTTCTGTCCGGTTTTCGTTCGATAAACAGTGTGAGAATTAAGACTTAACAGTTAGGACGCCACAGTGGCGGCGTAACCATTCTTATCAAGGAAAAGTGGATGATGATAAATATATCAGTAGACTATATAGAGGATATTTAATGTGTTTTCTCAAATACCACTTTTATCTCATCGAGTGAAGTGGGGAGAGTCTTATATTTTCACGAGTGAAATATCAGTAGACTATATAGAGGATATTTAATGTGTTTTCTCAAATACCACTTTTATCTCATCGAGTGAAGTGGGGAGAGTCTTATATTTTCACGAGTGAAATATCAGTAGACTATATAGAGGATATTTAATGTGTTTTCTCAAATACCACTTTTATCTCATCGAGTGAAGTTGGGATAGTCTTATATTTTCACGAGTGACGCAGTCACGAGTGAAAATATTAGACTCTCCCCAATTCACGAGATGAGATACAAGTGGTATTTGAGAAAACACATTGAATTTTCTATTTATTATATACATGTTTTATTTTTATTACTTGCAATTTATATATTTTTTCTAAAACAGTGTCTGATAAATTACTAAGTTCTCCCTGTCGCCCCTTTACCACCGCCGTATAAAGGTTTTTGCGCAAAGAATATAGTTCGTGAATAAAACTAGCCCTGTTAATATATGTTATGCGAAATACATTATTTCATATCGAGTATTAAGTTCCGTGGACATTTTTGTTTGTCTTAATTAAACATTCCTTTTTAAAATGGATAACTCTTTAATGTTTTGATTCAGGAGAAAGTAGTTCCGGCACCTTGTTTATATCAGTCACTAGTGACAGATATAACTTTTTTTATATCAGTCACTTGTGACTGATGACTTGATCTATCGTCACTGATAAATTCCAGTATTTCATTCATATGTATATAATAAATGACTATTTCGAGAATACAGTTGTGTTGTTGTTTGCTACTTCACATTGACAGAGACTCAGTTCTGATTTTTACTTATGTCTCACCTGAAAGTTCACCAATATATGAAAATAGTGAATACGATGATATCACTACTCTTGAACATTATATAAATATTGTCATGACTGACCATACCGACAAACACATATTTCTAGCGGGTGATCTAAATGCTAGAATGAAAGATTTTCTAGATTTTATACCAGATGACAATATAGATTTTATTGATAAGGATATTGATGACTACCCCTCGGATTGCTTTGACCTACCAAGATCAAGCAGCGATAACATTGTTCATAATGAGTATGGCAAAAAGCTTGCTGAACTATGTAGAACATTTGGTATTCATGTTAAGAATGGTAGACTGTTTGAAGATAAACAAGGTCAGTTTACATGTGTGACCCACAATGGAACAAGTCTTGTTGATTTTATGATTGCCTCCTCCTTACTTTTCCAATAAATCTCAAACTTTGGCTTTGGTACATGTGAAGAATCTAACCACTTTCCATTATATTGCTCTTTTAACATTCAGTCTCCCTATGAATATTATGACAACAGGGACCAGGTAAATAATAACAACAAGTTTGGCACAGATAGACAATCAAGCTGGATTAAATATGTTTGGAATGAAAACACAAGAGATCTCTTCCTTACAAAGTTAACTTCATTACATGACACTTTGCATTACGATTTAATTGATGGCATTAGTCATGACATAGAAAGAACAGTTTTAAATCTCACTAGATTGTATCAACAAGCAGCTGAACATACTAATAAACCTTATCAAGGATAGTCTGTAGATTTCAGCAAATCACAGCCCACATGGTGGGATGAAGAGCTAGACAAGATATAACATGACAAGTATGCAGCTCTTAGAGCGCACAGAGACCAAGGGCTGGCTTTTAGTCATTTAAGATCATGTCGAAATAAGTTCAAAACTGTGTTTAACAAGAAAGAATTTTGACTCCCAGAAAGAAAAACTTGTGTCTGCAAGAGACATTCCAAAAGAATTCTGGAACATTCTGAAGCAGGGCAGAGCTACCAGTAATTTAAGTCAGGAAATTAGTCCCCAAGACTGGAGCGCACACTTTTCTAACTTGTTGAATGTTGTCTTCGATGAGGTTATATGTGATGCGAGTCAAACCGAATCATGTAAACAACCGGATCCATACACAGCTTCTTTAAATCAAGATATTACTGAACAGGAAGTCTCTAGCTGTATTGATAATCTTGCAAACAATAAATCTCCAGGACCAGATGGCATCTCAACTGAGTTCTTTAAAGCATCAAAACCTTACACACTTTCTCTCTTTACGTTAATATTTAATCAAATATTCCACGATGGATCTCTTCCTGATATCTAGGGGAAAAGTATTATTTGTCCCATCTTCAAATCTGGTGTGAGGACTGACCCCAACAGAGGCATATCACTGATAGACTCTATGTGTAAGATATTCACTTCTATTTTAAACAATCGGTTACAACATTGGTGTCATCAAAATAATATTATTCATGAGACACAAGCAGGATTCAGATCAATTTATTCCACCGTTGATCATATATTTTCACTCCTTGCAATGATCCAGAAATATGCCTGCAAAAAGAAAGGTAGATTCTACTGTTTGTTTATTGATTTTTCAAAAGCTTTTGATACTGTTAATCATGATGTTTTACTGTCAAGCCTTAGAAATGTGGGTATAAATGGGAAAATCTTCAATATTCTTTCATCAATGTATACACATGGATTGTCTAGATACTACCATTGTAATGTTGGTACTCGTCAAGGGTGCATTTTGAGTCCCCAGAATGAGATGTTTATTATTTTTATCAAATCAACTTATTAGTATGATGGAAGAATATGGTGGACAAGGTATATATATATATATATATATATATATATATATCCTGATGCAAATAATCAATTTGCTCTCATGTTTGCTGATGATATTTCTGTGGTCGCTGATACTGCATTTCGGTTACAAAAAAGGTTAAAGGGTTTGGAAAAATTTGTGAATTAACTTTTATGAAAGTAAATTTGAAAAGCGGGACACGGCGACACTATGGCTAGAAGCTTCAGGTGGTGTAATTTTATAGATATTTAGGTACAGTATTTACACCTAGATTTAGTTTGGACTAAAGCACAGTCCTGCCTTGCATCACAAGCAAATAAAGCCATAATGGCAATATACAGAGTAGGGAATTTTAATTGTACTGATCTTTTCAGGGTTTTTGATGCAATGGTTACGCCAATATTGTGCTATGGGTCAGAAATCTGGGGAACAACATATTGTAAAACTACCGAAAATGTTCAGATAAGAATGTGCAAATATTTCCTGAAAGTTGGTATAAGTACAAGCAATAGTATGGTACTGGGTGGATGTGGTACAGCTCCACTTCAGCTTACATACATGCCACGGGCAGTTAAGTACTAGTGTAGACTAATCACTCTAGATAGAAATAGGATACCTCATCAATGTTATTTAATGTTAAAGTCTCTTGATGATGCTGGCAGAATCACATGGGCTACACATATCAAACATATTATATTTCATTTAGTGTTTGGTTTTGTATGGATTAGCCAGGATGTTGGAAATATTAACATTTCTATCAGATTTTTTTAAATAAGACTTCTTGATAATTTTAAACAAAACTGGTATTCTACACCACACTCTTCTCATAACTGTGCTAACTATTTGTTATACAAGACACTTTTACATGTGGAAACATACTTATGTATTACTATTCCTTTACATTTGAGAATCTGTTTCACAAGATTTAGGTGTGGCAATTTTAGACTTATGACAGAAACAGGAAGATACACTAATATACCATACCATTTAAGACTATGCCCTCATTGTAGGCTAAATGGCAAAATGTACATGTATTTAGAAGACGAGATTCATGTTTTACTTGTATGTGATGCATATACCTATATTAAAAAAAAGTATATTAGTAAATACATCAGAAATGACAGTGCAGTAAACATATTCATAAATATTATGAACACTCAAAATACACAAACAATAAGTGATCTCTGTTTATGCCTATTCAATGTGCAAAAAGTACGAAATATGTTCAATACCACTTAATATACCTATTTTCCAAGAATGCTACATAAGACATGTGTGTATATGTATATATATATACGTATGCGTATATATGTGTGTGTGTGT